AATAAAAAATGTAGAGCACACTTTAAACCTGATGCCTTCTAGACTAAAGTCTTCTGGAGAACAGTTCTTTGGTCCAAGGAGACAACGGTTGAGCTGTTTGGTCACAATAACAAAGAGATGTTTGTAGGAGTCAAACCCTAAAGTACTGCAGAGACTGTGCAAATTCCAAATTCTTCAACTTTATCTGAAATCAACCTGAGGGTTGAAACTTGGACACACATCAGAACTGGTTTCTGACTGGATAAAATCAGCCCACAGGTTGGGCGGCTGTGGTGGACTGGTTAGGGGAGTTGTCTTGGAACTGGAAGGTTGCTGGTTCGATCATTTGTCCAGCCTATTCAGTCATTGTGTCCTTGGACAAGAAATCTCACCCACCTAGCCTACTGATGGTGGTCCGAGGGTCCGGTGGTGCCGGAGCATGGCAGCCCCGTCTCTGTCGTCCCAGGGCAGTTGTGGCTACAATGTAGCTTACCACCAATGTGTGAACGTGTGTGCATGGGTGAATGTCTGAAATGTAAAGCTCCTTGGGGTCCAAGTGGACTTGATAAGGTGCTCTATAAGTTTAAGCCATTTAAAATAGGCTGATTTAAAAGCACAGATTTAAACCTTATTAGAAATTTGTGACCAAATTCAAAGGCATGGTCACAAATTTTCACAAAAGGTCTAAAAGGAATCCAACAAAATTAAATTCAGTCAGGAAGAGTGGTCAAATAGAATCTTGCTGATAAAACCTGTGATCCAGGTGCAATTTGTTAAGATCCATCCATCATCTTAACCCACGTCTTCCTTTCAGGGTCACTGGTGTTCATATCCAGCAGTCACAGAGTGCGTGGGTCGGGGTACACCCTGGACAGGTCACAAAAGTTCATCACGGGGACACATAGAGACAAACGAGACAAACAACCTCTCACTCACACCTAGGGACAATTTAGAGTTAGCATTTAACCTATGGGGGTTCTTTATCCCTCCCCCCTCACTATACCATATACAGCGGGTAAAATAAGTATTGAACACGTCACCATTTTTCTCAGTAAATATATTACTAGAGGTGCTAATGACATGAAATTTTCACCAGATGTCGGTAACAACCCAAGTGATCCAAACATACAAAGAAATCAAACCATAAATGTCCAGAAATGAAGTTATTTGTAATAATGTGGAATGYCACAGGGAAAAAGTATTGAACACATGAAGAAAGGGAGGTGTAAAAAGGCATGGAAAACCAAGACACCAGCTGAACTCTCTCAGTAATTAGAAAGTAAGCCTGCCCCTTGTCAGTGCAAGTTAATATCAGCTGGTTCAGTCCCAAATGATGGCCAGGTATCACACAAGAACCATCTGATGATGGGTAAAAGTAAAGAGCTCTCTCAAGACCTTCACAACCTTATTGTTGCAAAGCATAATGATGGCATCGGTTACAGAAGAATGTCTAAACTTCTGAAGGTTCCAGTGAGCACTGTTGGGGCCATAATTCAGAAGTGGAAAGAACATTATTTCACCATAAACCGACCACGACCAGGTGCTCCTCACAAGATTTCTGACAGAGGAGTGAAAAGAATTATCAGAAGAGTTGTCCAAGAGCCAAGGACCACTTGTGGAGAGCTTCAGAAAGACCTGGAATTAGCAGGTACGTTTGTTTCAAAGAAAACAATAAGTAATGCACTGAACCACCATGGCCTGTATGCACGCTCACCACGCAAGACTCCACTGCTGAAGAAACAGCATGTTGAAGCTCCTTTAAAGTTTGCTGCACAACATTTAAACAAGCCTGTGTAATACTGGGAGAATATAGTCTGGTCAGATGAGACCAACATTGAACTGTTTGGATGCCAGAATACACATCATGTTTGGAGGTCAAATGGCACTGCACATCAGCCCAAAAACACCATACCAACAGTGAAGTTTGGAGGTGGGAACATCATGGTGTGGGGCTGTTTTTCAGCATATGGTACTGGCAAACTTCAAATAATTGAAGGAAGGATGAATGGAAAAATGTACAGAGACATTCTTGATAAAAATCTGCTTCCATCTACCAGGATGATGAAGATGAAACGTGGCTGGACATTTCAGCAAGACAATGAGCCCAAACACAAAGCCAAGGAAACTCTCAGTTGGTTTCAGAGAAAGAAACTAAAGCTGCTGGAATGGCCCAGCCAATCACCTGACCTGAATCCAACAGAAAATCTATGGAAAGAACTAAAGATCAGAGTTCATAGAAGAGGTCCACGAAACCTTCAAGATTTGAAGACTGTTTGTGTGGAAGAATGGGCCAAAATCACACCTGAGCAATGCATGCCACTAGTTTCTCCATACAGGAGGTGTCTTGAAGCTGTCATTGACAACAAAGGCTTTTGTACAAAGTATTAGATACATTTCAGTAAGTGTGTTCAATAATTTTTCCCTGTGCCATTCCACATTATTACAAATAACTTCATTTCTGGACATTTATGGTTTGATTTCTTTGTATGTGTGGATCACTTGGGTTGTTACTGACATCTGGTGAAAATTTCATGTCATTAGCACCTCTAGTAATATATTTACTGAGAAAAATGGTGACGTGTTCAATACTTATTTTACCCGCTGTATGTGGATTCTGTGTGGACTGGAGAAAATATACAATCAATTCAAACTTGTGCACCCAATCTTGTTTTTCCACCTTGGAAAAAGAGCGTTTCAAATGAATCATTAAAAGCACAGAAATAATGTGACCTTCACGCCCGTCGTGAGCAGATGGAAACTTCTGACCGAATCAGCAGCTTTAGAACAAAAAGGGGGTCGCAGCTGATTGTGCATCGTCAGAACGAGTCCAGCAGCTCAGCATGCAGATGTTAACAGCAGACAGTGTGACATTCTCTGGCCTACTTTACTGATCCGCAGGACTGCCAGTAACAGAGGAGGCAGGGCAGTAAAAGAATGCAGTCAAGTCAGCTGTAGTTTACATGCAAGTTTGGACTCACAACATCACCTGACCTTAAAAGGCACGTTCTAATATTTCTATCAAGTCACACTGCAAGAGGGTGAAAAACACAGTCAGCAGAATTAAATTAGGACCCTCAAATGGTCTATATCGCCTACATGTAGTAGTGACGTAATTCCATTTTTAGTGAAAATATAAAACAGAAAGTAAGAAGCCAGAATGGGTTGACGTGCATGTGAAAAATGAACCATTAAGTTGTGCTGGTTAAGTTCTGGTGCTGTGGGCCGCAATCGTCAGGACAAGCGTGGAAGATGAGGTCACAAGAGGCTGATCTGACATCAACACTTTGAACGTGCATTTTTATGTTATTTATGTTGCACAGTACAAAAAAAAAACCCACTAAATTTAGCCAAACTGAAACATAAATTATATGATTTATGATTATGCAGTTAATTGAACTGACAACAGGTGGCGCTGTTAAAAAGCAGTTCTATAATCTGCAAGTGACTGCAGTTTCAGCAGTGCATACATTAAAATAAGGAAGAGTTAGGCTGATAAAATCTGATAAAAACAAATTATTACCAGGCAATATTCAGAAATTATTGGTTGTAGGGGAGGGGAGTTATCATTTAAGGGGTCACTTTAACTTTAAATCAAGAATTGTTCATACAACTCGTAAAGAGTTTTGTATTTCTGTTGGTGGCGTAAAACTGTGGAACTTAAGGAATGTCCAAACATAAGACAATTTAAGATGTATTAAAGTGTTATTTACAAAAGATATAGAGATGCTGAGTATGTCTGAGTATTGTTATTATTTTTTTATTTTATTGTATTTTTCTTTTTGCAATATGTGGAGATGTTTGTTTGGTGCTGTGTATATATGTGTACATGTGTGTATGCGTATACATTTATGTGTGTATGCATATACACTGCATGTAGATGTACATTTATGTTCATGAATATATTCTGGTATTATATAAAATTCTAGGTAAACAGATTGCTGTTTTAAACTTTATGAAATTGTAACTTAGAATAAGGAAAAAGAAGAATTTACTATTTTTTGTTGTAAATAAGCTTTGGAGAAGAGTGGGATTAAATAAGTTTTTGACTTCTTCCCATTCCTTTTCAAACATGTTAATTTTGTTATCACATTTTATCATTTTTTCTTTTGTTTTGTTTACATGTTTGAAATAAACTAAGAACTCTTGTTTATGTGCACGCCTGTTTGCTTCTTTTGGTTTCTTTGGTTTTATAATATCTGTTGAAGACAAATAGATTTTTGGCAATATTTTCAAATAATGGTTACATAAGTCAGTAAATTTGAGGTAATCCGGAGGTAATCCTGCAGAGCAACAAAAAGGCAGACGTGGTTGTAAAATGACATTACTACACACAAATTACACAACAGGTCACATGTTAAAATCTTGTACGCAGTTTCTAAAAGTTAAAGAAAAACTTGGTTGAAGATGTTTTTCCAAGTCAGAGCAGTTTCTGAGCACTGAATACAACTTCTATTTAATATGCCTACTTCGTTCAACAATTCTACGTGTATTTGTACAAAAAAATATCCCAAAAAGCTTTTCCGTGGACGTGTTTTTGGTCTCTTTGGTTGTTTCGAAATGTTAAAAAAACAACTGTTGGCAGCTAATATAGTTTTAATTTAGGGACAGAATGTATCTTTCTTGCTTAGCCCTGCATCTTGGGATATTCAGTTAAAAATATCCTACAAAAAACACTTAATGACTTCTTTTAATTTGTACTGTTTTAACTCTGAGTTCTGAGACCCAGTTCCAGATACCTCTGGTACCAGTACCAGGGTATCGGTATCCCAGAATGTGACACCGTAATGAACCAGACGTGTTTCTCGAGCTGAGCTCCACGATGTTTACATCTGCCTCCGCCTCCCACTTCCTCCGCCTTGCATCTGCTCAGCACGCGGTGTCCACGCGTCGCTTCTGCGCGCTGATTGGCCAGAGCCGCGACAAACAAAGGCTGCCAGCCAATGGGAGCGGTGTTCACGCGCTGTTCACTCCGGCTCGGCATGCTCCGGCCGTCATAAAACCCTTCTTCTTCTTTTGTTTACAGACTCAGCGAGCAGGACGGTGGAGGAGAAGCTGCGCCTGGCTTCCGGTGGATTATTTCGTTTTATTAGTTTTGAGTTAAAGAGGGGAAAGATGGTGGCCATGACGAAGAAAGTTAAAACTTTCCAGATCGTCCTGTCGGACCCGTGCAAGTCGTTTTACTGCGGCGGGGACCGGGTGAGCGGCCGGGTGGAGGTGGAGGTGAACGAGGTGGTGCGTGTGTCCGCGGTGAAGATCCTGGCCCTGGGCCACGCCAAGGTGGAGTACGCTAAGGGCAAGCAGCGGTGCCGACAGGAGGCCGAGTACCTCCGGCACGAAGAGGCTCTGAGCCTGAGCGAGCAGCCCACAGGTAGGAGGCACACACCTGCCGCCCACCGACCCCAGTCAGGGGCAGAAACTAACCAGTGCTTTCCTTCCAGACACGGATGGATCAGTCGTGTTGAGACCTGGCAACAAATATGAATACTCCTTTGGGTTTGACCTTCCTCAGCAGGGGTAATTCATTGTTAAAGCTCACTTTATTAATAGAAATCATTATAAAAATGATTGTTTTAACGCTCCTCTGCTGTGTGCCTCGCAGACAGCTGGTGTCGTCCTACAAGGGCAAGTTCGGCTATGTTCATTACTATGTGAAGGCCATGCTGGAGAGGCTGCAGCAGCCCACCATGGAGTGCAAGAAGTCCTTCGAGGTGGAGGAGCCCCTGGATGTGAACACACCAGACCTGCTGGTGAGTCACACAACACGACGTCAGGTGTTTTTCTACACACTGACCCGATCTACACGACTGTTAATGAAGCTGTGTGGTCTGAAAGCAAGTGTCTGCCTGTTTCCTTTTAAGTATCAAATTTAGGCTCCATTTCCAGCATATTCTGGATCTGGGAAGTGGCAGTGATGGAATTTCCCAACAAACCAGTCAGCTGACAGGAACCTAGCTACAACACTGCTACAATAAAAACAAACACAAAAAGAGAGCTCATGCAAATAAAAATTGATTTTAATACAGTATGCACAAAAACACTACTTGTACAAGTGATTAAACATGCACAAAAACCATAATTAACAGTAAAATCACAGAGTTAACTTTCTGAAGTAAGTAAGTAAAGTTTTATTTATAAATCACCTTTCACAGAAATATATTCACAAGGTACAATCATCACCAACAGTGTAAAGATGGCGGAAAGACTAACAGAACATAAATAATACATAAACACAATAAAACATCAAAACAAGAAGAATAAATTCTAAACTGTAACTCAGACACACGGTGGAGGCAGAGCATGACGAGGTGATTGTGTATGCAAGACTGTACACATCAAATAAGAAACTGTTGAATTAAAAAGTGGGGTGTTGAGCCAGTGGTTCCCAAACTTTTTATCTTCTGACCCACAAAATATCCATGGCAAAAACTTGTGACCCCAAATATTACTGGTCTGAGTACACGAACTTCGTTCATAACCCTAAAAACACAGGCTTTGTGACAATCTAAACAGCTTGTACACAAATATAAATACTTATTCATACTTATTTTGTGTTTTTGTAATAGTTATAGGGAAAATATTACATCAGCAATTATTTTATTACCCTTAAAAATTATTTCTGGAGATTATCCAAGGTGCTTCATGACCCATAATTGGGTCCCAAGCCCAACTTTGGGAACCAAAGTGCAGTGGTTCCCAAACTTTTCAGCTTTTGACCCACAAAATATCAGTAGCAGAGACCTGTGCTCCCAACTGTTTTTGGATGATAAACATTTGTATCAGGTCAATAAAACATGGGCATAGTAACAATATTTTTATACTACATTTATCCATTTTAAATACACTAACCTCACTTATTTGTAACAACTAAGGCAAAAATGTAATTAATTCCTAAAATATTTTCAGGACTAAATTTATGAATGGAAACAATGACATTTCCACTTCCCAGTGCTACTGGAGCGCACCTTAATGTTGAGAAATAACTGGCCGTATTGGTCAGGTCACATGCACTCACTTTTAGTTTCAGCACTTTTATTATTAATCGTTCACCGTCAATATCATGAACCGTTTTTGGATTTTAATGAAGCTTTCAGGAAGCAATCATCGGACAAACATTCATAACTTCCTTTCAGAGCACTTCAAGATGGCCGCTGCCAACTTTTAATTTGAAAGATGTGCTAAATTTAGATTTGGCAGTAGTTCAGTACAACATCTCCATCATGACATAGCTGTCATTTCTTAACTTTAGATGGTGTTAGTCTAAAAGTAGCATGGAGGGCGACGGGTGAAGGAATGCTAGGCTTTGGTTGATGAAACCCATAATAAGCAGGAAGTGATTTTCAGGCAGCAGGTGGAAGAGAACCTGGAGAGGTGCAGGTGGGTTCTGGAGAGAAAAGGAATGAAAGTTAGTAGAGGTGAGACAGGTGGAGGAGAGGAGGTTCCACAGTTGCTGTGTTTCCATTGACCATGAAAATGCACAAATTAGAATTTCAAAAATAAATTTGCTCAATGGAAACACGTCAGTTTCGAAAAAAATTACGTTTTTCGACAAAATGTTTTTGTGCCAGGATGAGGTGGTTTTTCGGCCGTATCAAAATTGGTGTTTCGCAAAACTGCAATGGAAACACTTTTTTCGCATCATGGGAGTCACGTGATCAACAACCGGCTGTTTCTACTGGTGAAAGACGACGACGAAGAAGATAACAGGAAGTAGAAGTAGTAGTAATATCACAGAAGTAGTATAAAATGGTAAACTCACCGACTACAATTTCCCAAAAACACAGCATACGTAGCCGCTCCCAAGTAGGGACTTGTCTCTGGAAAGCCTCGATAAAAGACGCCGTCGTCTCCTCTGATGATGAGCGCTAGTGTCGTGGTAGCAACATGCTATGTGTTTACATCCATTGCTGCCATGTTTGTAATGACTTATCACGAGAACAAACATATTCACGTGTGACTTTAATAGCATTTCTTAATAGAAACACTGCAGTTGCGAAATTGTTTTTCGACATTAACAGAATAGCACATTTGAAATGGAAACGCAGCTACTGACACACGACGGAGTGACGTGCTCTCTGCAGTTGAGCTGACTCGGCTCTTCCTGTTCAGTCCCCCACAGGTGGCATGAAGGAGAAGAAGGTCACCTGCATGTTCATCCCCGACGGCCAGGTGTCGCTGAACGCCAAAATAGACCGCCGTGGGTTCTGCGAAGGCGAAGACATCTGCATCAACGCCAAGTTTGAAAACACCTGCTCCCGCATCGTGGTGCCCAAGGCCGCCATCATCGCCAAGCAGACCTACCAGGCCAACGGTCGCACCAAAGTCTTCCGCCAGAAGCTGTCGGCGGTGCGCGGAAACCACATCATCTCAGGCATGTGTGACGCTTGGCAGGGGAAGACCATCCGGGTGCCAAAGATCAAACCCTCCATGCTGGGCTGCAACATGATCCGTGTGGAGTATGCACTGATGGTACGTCCGCACCGCCGAACACGTTTGTTTAAAAATAAAACGAGCGTTACTAACCTGCAGGTTTCCTGCATTGATTCCAGATCTACGTGCACATCCCCGGCAGCGAGAAGCTGATCCTGGAGCTGCCGCTGGTCATCGGCACGGCCGGCCTGGGCAGCCGCAGCAGCAGCGTGAGCAGCTACGACGGCTCGGTCAGCACGGCCTCGCAGAGCTGGGTGTCGCTGCGGATGCCCTCCGACCCCCCCAGCTACTGCGACATCACCAAGGACGTGCGCCTGGACCAGCCCCTCACGCCCCTGCTGGACGACGTGGAGTGCGACGACAGTCCCATCTTCATGGAGGCGCCGCCCAGCTTCCAGTTCCCGCAGCCTCCAGCGTACACAGAGGTGGGCGCCACAAAACAGCAGCTTTAAGCTAGTTGCTGTATCCATCCACGTTAACCCTTTAAACCTTTGTTTTTCCAGACGGATAAGGAGTGCAACGCCAACACACGCATGATGCCCGTGTGCTGAAGGCTGTCAGGGACTCGCTGTTTTCTGAGGAACATAGTGGGAGCTCCACACTCCAGATGAGATGTTGGACGGAGAGGAGGAGCCAGGACAGTGGAACTGAAGAGAAATACACTTGCCTTTCGCCACGCTTTATAATCTGCTGATCCAGAGCCACGTGGCGTGGCAATGTTACATTTCTGTTTGAGCTGTCCCTTATGGAGACTGTCGGCATCTTTGTTTTATAATTTTAGGACACTGGGGCTACGCAAACAGAGCCCAGCCTGCTGCAGCTCTTTCCTATGAATCATTCCAGTCTTATTTTGAAAGGACTTTGCAGGASGAGCTGTCACTGTGGTTAGGTTTGCTGTGTTCACAACAGATTTTMGCTCATCCATCATATTTCCATATACACCAGTGTTTTGAAATGTGGTTTGTTCCTGTATTTTACAGCACTTTTTGATTGCGATTCGTTCTTCTACTGCAGAGTTTTGTTGTTTGAATGTTTTTCACGTGGAAAATGACTTTTGTCCTCCAGACAAGAAACTCCAAAAAAAAAGAAAACCCCATATTGGCAGTAATGGCTCTGAGTGTGAGTGCCAAAAATGATTTCTGCWTCATGTTCAGYTTTAATGCAAAGCACCTTATGTGAGTACAAGCATTTGATRGAAGTTGTCTCAGACAACAGTTCATGCTCAGATCCACTCTGTTCTTTGTTTTCTGTATTTCCAGGGCTCGAAGAGAAAAACTGTGTGACTGATTTGTATAATAGATTGCAATGTTTTCTCAGTACAGAAACTATTTTTGTATCAAACCCTATGGGTCAAGATTTTTTTGTATTAATAAAGAAATGTGAACAAATCTCCTGAATGTGTTTGTTTTCTGTGGAGACATTGGTTAGGAATTTAAAGTAGGACCAATAGGACACCATCGTCACTGTGAAGCATGGCGGTGGCAGCATCATTATGTGGAGTTGGTTTTTATCAGTAGGGATTTGGAAACTAGTTGAGTTAAAGATGAATCGACAAATTCCTGTTGGAATCTTCAGAGACGTGGGACTGGGACAGGACAGACAGCTGACTCAGCATCCAGAGATGAGGAGAACCAAAGGTCCTGGCAGGGTTCTGTCAAAGCCAAGACCTCCATCTTTAGGTAAAAAAAACAAACAAATGTTTAAATGCAAAGGTCTCGAGTGTTAAAAAGCACAAACTTAGAAATGTGAGATGTGTAGCAGATTGGTGTTCACACGTTTTTATTTCTAACCTTGTTAGGACCGTTCATTGACTTTCATTTACATCCAGTTGTTTCTATTGTCTGACCCCTGACCTAAATTTTATTTTATTCATTTATTTACCGTTATTTTACCAGGCAAGTCCCATTGAGATCTCAGATCGCTTTTTCAAGGGCGGCCTGGGCCTGAAGTCAGCCTATTGTACATGTTTTTGTGTTGTGGGGGAAACCGGAGTACCCGGAGAAAACCCACGCAAGCACGAGGAGAACATGCAAACTCCGCACAGAAAGACCCCAGGTCCAAACTGGGGATCGAACCCAGGACCTTCTTGCTGTGAGGCGTCGGTGCTAACCACTGAGCCGTCGTGCCGCCAAAATGGAGTTCCATCATATTAAGACCAGTCTTTGTTCTCCATAGCCTTTTTCAAGGTAGATTTGTAGCAGAAATGGTCCTAAAAGGTAACAATTACAAATAAACAGACATGTAAAGGTGACACGTTTGGGGAAATCCAAAATAGCTGAAGGATAGGGTCATAAACAAACTGAACGAGATGTTGGGACACCTTTTGAAGCTTACATCAATCAGACTGGGAATTCTTTTACTCTGAGTTTTCTGACTGGCTTAGGTTTTGGCTATGCTGGTGAAAGACTAAACTGAAAGTAAACAATTTAAGTTTATATATCAGACATTAAACTTAAGGCATTTTGTATGATTTGTGGTGATTTTATCCCTCAACACTCTAACTGAGAGTCTGGTTTGATTTCAGGGTTGTTGGACACAAGCAGCACTGTCCAATTTGTTACTCATACTCTGCTTTTCTGGTTTTATTTTGTTCCACAATAAAGATTTCCCCCCTAATTTCAGTGCTGAAATACAGTTTGTGGTGTAAAGTAAAGGGTAAATGGATTGAACTTGTAGTATATATATATATATATACTGTAT